TAATAATAATGGGGGTTAACGTCTCAGAACCACTATATGAGACACCGTAGTGGCGGGCTTCAGAAATAATCTAAGCAAACGGGCCTCCAGCATTTTAGCCTGCATCGAAAATGCGGCCACACGGCCGGGATTCGATCCCGCGACCTGCGAGTCGGCAGCACCTCCACTACTATAGACCACTATGGCGGGTAAAAAATTTAGTGAAGGGTTGCAAAAAATGCTTCGTCAACCTTACGAAGATGCTCCTTTTGGATGTAGCAGTAATGCGGTTGAAAGCGGATGTTCAAAGCCCGTTTAGGCAGGCAATTGATTGATATGTGGGGTTTAACGTCCCAAAACCACTATATGATTATGAGAGACGCCGTAGTGGAGGGCTCCGGAAATTTAGACCACCTGGGGTTCTTTAACGTGCACCCAAATCTGAGCACACGGGCCTGCAACATTTCCGCCTCCATCGGAAATGCAGCCGCCGCAGCCGGGATTCGAACCCACGCCCTGCGGGTAAGCAGCCGAGTACCTTAGCCACTACACCACCGCGGCGGGGCCCCGTTTAGGCAATGTTAGAAGGTAACGCTGCGTGACGTTAGGGAAGCAATGCATGCTACTAGGTTTTTGATCGGAAGTAATTTGAAATGTAAGGACAAAAGTAGTTTTACTGCAGCCAAGTCTGCCCTAAAGGCATCGGGTTGTTCAATAAAGTCATAATAATTGGAAACATTCTTTAATACGAAGTGGCTTGTAAATAGAAATTTTTGAAACCGATTTCAATGGCAATAACATGGAATCTAGAAAAAGGAATGCACCAGTCTCGAAAATGGTGCGAGAAATTTAGCTAGATCGTTTGGTGCTACCACAAATGGGTGTGGAGGGGGTCATGAGTTTGACCCTCCTCCTTCAGCATCTTTTTTTTTTCATTTGGCATGTGTGCAGGTATATAGAAGCACACATACAAACACACGCGCGGGTATATTCATATAGCGGTCAACAGACATAATTTTCATGTGCCACTTGCGTAACGTTGTCAAGGTCTGAAAGAATGTGGGTGACTATGCTCCGTTTCATACATTCGGTGTAGCACTGTGGAAGCTACGCAAGTTCGGTCGGCAAATTGTGTAACTCCATGTGTCTCGCGCTAGTATAACCGTGACCTCCGCGATGGTCCCCATCCGGGCGCTGCCCGCACTATTCGCGGAGAGGTGCTCCGAAATCCGGAACAACCTATACACCAGAACACAGCGAGCTCAGTGCTTGCTGCCATATTGAAAAGCGCGTGGCGCCATCTGTTGTAAGCGCGGCGAAGCAATACCCTCAACTGCCAGGCGAGCAGATGCTCTGCAAATCAAACGTGAAACTTCACAACTCGAGTCCGGCTGTAAGCATGTTTTGCGCTGTTCCCGTGCTGTAAGTTTATGCTGATGTCGCGTGAAACGTCGAGGAGACCTTCCTCGACAGTCCGGAATGTCTGCGGCACGTGCGTTGCAGACTACAGTAGCAGGTTCACCAGGTACGTATACTATTGCGATTGAAAGAAACGCGAACAGCGGAAAGCGTTGCTTTCGACTCAGTCGAACTGCGGTGTGCCTTGGCTTTGACAATGCAGAATTTGTGCTGTAAGCCGGCGTCAACGTAGCGCTAAAATCTTGTTCCAACTTACGCTCATGCACCACATGCGTATCGATTGGCAGTCTTGCTGGGCACTTGGAACACACGCGAGGTGCAAAAGTGCTAGCCAGAACAAGACTTTAAAATGCTACAATGACGCCGGCCGAAAGCACATGTATATAGTGACAGTCAAGGCATGTTGCACTTCGACCGGGTTGAAAGTCATGCTTTGCGCGCCTTTCACGCATCGCGATAGTAGGCCGTTACGGTTGTACTAAACATTTGTGGCGCATGCATCCACGCGTGAGTCGTAATACGTATATCGTATTATTGACATGCGGCCTGCGAAAGAGTATGGTAATAATTTTGTGCCTCATACTACAGGCAGGCTGCATGCAAATCGCTGCTGTAAAGTGAAACAGCTGGAGTCACGCTTGAATAAACACAATAAGTTTACTTACTCGTACACTCCACAAGGCTCGTAGTTTTTCCTGCTGATTGCGATCATATACTAAGGCGGTGGAGCTCGGCGTTTTTCGTTGTGGACGGAAATTTGTGCAATCGCAAAACACCGCACCGGCACGATTCCCGCGATGCGCTGTGAACTTCACAGGCAGTGCTCAGCAATATCTTCCTCTTGCGCTGGTTGTTGTCGCATCAGATGGCAGCACAGTGGTAACCAGATGACGTTTTACAAGCGGGCGCAGCGTGAACGGGCACTTTTTCGCATTTTAAACTCCCAGAGCCACTGCAATCCATGCTAGCGAAACGCGCCTTGGCAGTTGCAAACAAATTATGGCGTCTCTGGGAGCGAGGGTATACCGCCGAAGGCGCCTGGGTTCGAGATAGGCGTGCTCTCGTCTATAGACAAACATATAAAAGATGGGGCTTCTTTATTTCTCATGCACAAAGAATCTACATTTATTACTTAGTCTGCAAGCGAAAATGATAAATACATTAGTGGTAGTAAAGTGATCGCACTATATCCTGGTGCGAGCTCATCTAGTGCTAGAAGTCTCGCTAGCTTCTATAGCATTGCACCTAATGCATGAAACCAAGTACAGAGACATTGCCAATGCATAGGGCTGTTGTTCGAGAACTTCATCAACGCTACTCGCTGTTCAACTAATTTGTTCCCACTGAACTCTTGTTTACAAAAGAAGAACACCATGGGTTAACAATAGAATGTTTTACTTCACTTAACTGTCATCTATCGTTCATTATAAAATTTCACGTTTCGGAGAAGCCGGAGACATGTACTTGCTCCCTACGTGTACTGTACTCAGCAAACAAATGAATAAATAGCTGCTAAGGTTCGCCTCCTTTCGGGTTTCTATGTTACTCCTCTACTTGAAAATCGAAACAATTGGATTGTTTATTAAGCTTCCTAAAATGTAATAATGTTCATGCGTTAAGAAAGTGCGACACTGTCCGTGTGCGCAGACGGGTCTACCTATACGAAAATCCCATATATGGACCTATATAAAAGTGCCCATATTTGGATACATCAGGAATTGGGCTTATCAGACTTTATATGGATTCCCTATATATGAGCCTTATATAACCTGATAAGCCCGATTCCTGATGTAGCTACATATGGGCCTTATACAGCCTGATATACCTAATCCATGATATACGACTTATGGTAGTTGCTATATATATAGCCATACCTCGCAACAATCTACAGATGGTTATATATAGAAGCATCCATACAAGATTGATCGATATGTAGGGTTTAACGTCCCAAAACCACCATACGATTATGAGAGACGCCGTAGAGGAGGGCTCCTGAAATTTGGACCACCTGGAGTTCTTTATAACGTGCACCCGAATGTGAGCGCACGGGCCTACAACATTTCCGCCTCCATCGGAAATGCAGCCGCCGCAGCCGAGATTCGAACCCGCAACCTGCGGGTCACTAGACCACCTTAGCCACTAGACCACCGCGGCGGGGCATCCATATAAGATTGAACATGGATTTATATGAATACCTTTATATATAGTCATTCAGATTATTCATATAAATGAATTCAGCTTGTGTCACTGGTTGAATTATAGCCCCACAAATCATTCTACAGCCAGAAAGTATTGCTGTTTGTTGAAAGGTCTGCAGGCACCATCGTCACCAAAACAAAGGTTGTATCACACGACCTGCAAATCTTAACCCAAGTCCTGTCACGTCACCACTCCCACGTGGTCTTTAATGCTTGTTACACCCTCTTCGAAGCTCATGTTTATGTTGGTGTGACAGAAATAACCGCGGAGCTTCAATTACCGCTGCTTTCTCGAATTCCTACGGGCAACGCGCTTGCATATGAGTCTCGGCAGATGAACGTTCGTAGTTAGAACATCAGTGGTAGCAATAAAGCTTTGATAAACCAAAGTATATTTTCTATATAAGAACTTGCTATACATATTCTCAATTTATATAGCTGCGACAGTAAACAATGATAAAAGATAGAAATAAACTTGCTACCTTGGTTAATATGTAGGTAGACAAGTTCATGAGCATCCTCGAAACAGGCTTGTACATATCACGGATTTGTAACGTGAAAATCGCGTGTTCTTGCAAGGGAGAAGCAAATTAAGTCATGACATAACCAAAAACAACCGGACCAAGCGCAAAGAGACCACACACAACTGACACTCCGCTTATCTTACTGCTCCAACAGCTTACTAATCTCGCCCAGCTTCCTTAGGTACTCTTCACTCATCACTTTCTCTGCTTCTGTTGCAGTATACATTACCAGTAGCACTGAAGCGAGTCGTCCTGAAGATATAACTGCATATCGCACTCCATGGAAGCAAGCTTTCTTTATCGGAAGCCCTCTTCGCGTTGCGTAGAGAGAAATCTGACCGTTCCGTTTTCAGATACCGAGCGAGAAGAGACGCACGCTGTTCTGAGAATGCCCAGTCCTTGAGAGGCGGCCAGTCCCGCTAAACAGGCTCAGAAGTGAGAACTTCTGTGCCTTTACGAGCATTTTTCTTCAAGCACAGCCCGTACTTCGGCGTGTGATCTTTATAAGGAATCTCGGCTGTGGCTTCCGGAAGTTGACATAGCCTCAGCTCTTTGTTATCTCCAGTAGGTGGATAAAGGGCAGACAGCGGGACGTTGCGAAAATGAGAGCTATCAGCACGCAAAACTTACGAAGCATTTCTAGACACGTCAGGCACACAGGCGGCTTGCGATACGCCACTGTTGGTACCGCAATTTCCAGTGACATGCCAAATCCGCGATGACCTTATAAGTCAAGCGCTCTAGCTCACCAAAGAAAAAAAAACAAAAGCCGAGAAGAAATAAAGCAATCAGACACTTGTACGAACACGCCACCACTTTCAAGGGCAAGTCCAAGATTTTCGCAATGTTTCTAGAGGTGTCCTATATAAGAAGGCGCAACTCGTTGAGTACGTAAAACAGAGTGCACGTGAAACTGTAGGGAGCAATGTGTTCGAGAGTTACATCGTGTGGCCTCCTGCTGGCCCTCCTTACAGCTCTGTGCGCTTCGTCCGCCGTACCTGCGTCACCCTCCTGCAAGATTCACGAGGGCCTTCACTACCGCCACTTCACCTGTCGGAACTTCCACTCCGTGGAAGACTTCCAGCAGGTCGTCCATGACACCCACTCCGAAAAGCCTACTTGGTTCAGCCTGTAGGACAGTGAAGTTTCCAAGATTCCTGGGGGTGCCTTCAAGGACCTCAACGTGTCAGTGCTGGAGCTCAGACGTGTCATCGTCGAACATTTCGAGCCGGCCGACGGAGAAGAAAACCCGTTCCACGGCCTAGAGCAAACTCTCCGCAGGCTTATGTTCAGCCTGGGCACACTGCCGACCTCGTGGTCCATCCTCGGTCACCTGGAGCACTTGGAAGAGTTGAAACTCATCCACTACAAGGACATGCACCTCAGCAATGATTTCAACAACCTTCCCAAGAGTCTGGAAACTCTTTACATTGCCGATGGTACACTCGAGAAGATCGACGACGATTGGCTAGCTCACTTGGATGGCCTTAAGCATCTGGTTGTGCGCCAGACCGACATGTACAACTTCACTAGGTCGTGGTTGCCTAATCCGGCACCTCATTTCACTACACTCGACCTTCCGTAAGTACACTGTGGTTCTTTTCTTATGCTTCGAATGAGTGAAGGCGTTTCGTAGCGTGTTTAATTGGGAGTGTTCCAACATAGTCATGACAGCCAACGCAAACGAGACTGAAAAACCACCGGTGTCGTCTGTTCTGTGTTCTATTCTTCTGTCTTGTTTTCGCTCTCGCCGCCATTAGTGCTTCGTAAAGAGGGATCCAAACGTTTACAAAGCTCATCACTCAACTTGAACAGTAATTGCCAGTTAGCGCAGGTAAATTACAGTGTCTAAATATATGCATTCCGATGAAAAGTCGTTTCACGAATGAATTCGCCATACGCATAAGTAGAAAAGACGCCAGTACAATGTGTCCTACACCGAATTAATGAGACAGCGTCTAGGTAACTTTTTTTTTACTTTTCAACGCACTCTCTGCAATGTGTAGGATGTTGTTCACTATAATTTTTAACCGTATTGAACTATCATATTTATTTGTATGTAATCAGTCCTAATTATCGTCGGCTAATATTTCTTTATCTGAGCTGGCTAACATTACCTTCATTCAATTTCAACCCGGTCATAGCGGCATCTAACAAACATTCTTTAACGGGTGCTAATACAATATTTGTTTAGCTAAGGTAAAGTGGCCCATAGCTTACCGTCAATGCAATGTATCATTATGGGTGGGCGCAGCTAATGTCCGTGGCTAAAATTCAACCCACTCGTGCATTTTGTTGGCAGGACAAACAAGCTGGTCTCGTTCCCCGCCAATCTGGACGACGGCCTTCCCGAACTGAAATACGTGAGTGTCGAGCGGAACCTCATCACCACTGTGCACGAAGAGGACTTGGCTCCGCTCAAAGGGAAGCCGGTCTTCGTGGACTTAATGTGTGAGTACCATCGTGGATGGCCCGGTTCATTCTTAAGTCCTTGAGGTTCGGCGTGCGTCACCACGTTGGGGGCGTTGACGGCGACATATAACCGCGACTGAGCTGGGCTGCAACCATAGGCGTGCGTGGGGTTATAACCATGAGCGGGGACGACGTTCACCTCCACCCTCCCTCCCCCGTGGTGGTCAAGTCCGAAAGATAACAAGATTCCCGGTGGACGCAAACATGCAAACGATACGATGGTGTACTCCATACAACAGCCTGCTTTTGTTCCCTAACTTTGCAGGATTGAGGTGGGCGAAGAAACGAGTTCTTGCAACGCAACATGGAACGCAACAACGGGGTCCCTCGGCTGCAATTATAGGAAATAAACCCGTCTCCCTAAAACTCTTAAAAGTAGACAAATTACAGAAGACGTCCGACTGACTATAATAGGGCAGACTTGGCACTTCCCTCCTCGAGATGACCAGGGGAAAGTGGTCCACCCCCAGCAACTCAACCCCCCCCCCCCCCCCCCCCCAAATAATCACGGCCATAAATGCAACGCGTGAACGCGTGGATGAATCACTGCCGATGTTTAGAGCTGCGTTGCCGTGTCGTATGCTTTCCTGCACTGCACCTGCCAGCACAAGTGAAAACAAGACAGCGTTTTGCAGGAACACGGATATTTTAGGTGATGGAACAGCCGGTAAACGTGCGAATGTTCACCCTATTATAGAGTAATGTCGTTTTGACAATAAAACCTGTATCGGTCGGAACAGGGGCTTTGGACGGTCGGGCAGTACCGCGACTTCGCAGCGATGGGCCATTCTATTCGGTTTCGGGCTTTTTGCGATGCGCGAAGTGAGGCAACAGTGAAAGGTGAACGTCAAAAGCGGCGCAAAATTAACCGAAACAAATTTTTACAAAACTGCGCGCCATGCCCATGGACTGTCCAAGAAAGAGACTTAAGACTAGAGGTTCCCTTTCGTAGCTAGTAATATATCGCTTGTGTAACAACGATTTAAAACAGCATCAACAAAAAACATGCCTATGTCTAAACGAAAGGATACAACAGTTCGCATTACTAAACTTTATATTAATAATAAATAATCAACCTATTAATTTCTGCTAACGTCAAACCACTCCGCGTACAGCAGGCTATTCGAAGAGGCGCAACAGAAAGACACACAAAAGGTGCTGGCTTAATTTGTTGATATAATACTCTGTTTACCAAAACACTACGCTGTGGAGCGCTCCCGTATATTTAATGCTCGTACTTTCACGTCCAGCTTCGACAGCTTGTGTCATGTCGGCGCAATCTTGATTCAGACACTTATATTATAACGAGCATTACCTTAAGTGCCCATGGTTTGCCCCGACATGACGCGGTCGTCCCGAGTGATCGTTCGCAGCAGCCGTTATACTAAAAAAATGATGTCGCATTTCATTTAGGATTAGGATTGGGATGTTGTATAGGTAACCCGCGAATCTAGCTTTGCATAGTTTGCAGGCAATTGCCCCACCCAGCTTCCTCTTTGCTAATTATAAGTACAATGCTTTTTTTGCTTGTTTGTTTTTAAGTAAGCACGGACAGGCTGAAAAACTCGCGCATAGCGCGACGTAAGCCTGCTTAAGCCACCGGCCTCTGTGCTATTCCACATGTAGTATTTATTGTGCATGGCCCAACTCGGCATGGGCTGTGAATGTGCCTCGCCTTATACTTCGTGTTTTGGCGCATGCTCCTGCAGTCAACCCTGTGCACTGCGACTGCAAGTTGGCCTTCATCCTGGACTACCCGACTCGCTGGCACTATTTCCTGTGCGCCACGCCCGGGAATGTGGCCGACAGTTACATCACGCACCTTACCGAAGAGCAGCTTCAGTGCGAGCAGGGCAACGCTTGAGGCACCCTTACCGGCCCTGTGAACACTCATATCGTTTGAAAAGTTGATCGTTGTTGCTCTATCATTCCACCTTTGTTGTTTTCGTTGTCGTTGTTTACTGTTTTTACACGTTTATAGTCTAATAAAGGTTCACATACAGATCAATTGACGCTGTTCGTTATGTATTCTTATTCGAACGGACTCCGTAGTTACTGCGTGAGTAAAAAGAAAGGTCAGGTAAGAAAGAAGAGGAGGAGAAGCATATAAGAGAGACGGAGAATCAACCTTTAAACTGAGCCTGATTGTCTATACCTCTCACTGTGGAAAGGCAAGTGTACTCCGGAAGAGCTTCTTTCTGGGCGTGTTGGCGCGTAAGTTCGCTGAACACGTTGTTTGTGGCGCAAAGTTGGAAACATGTCGTAAAACATACATGAAGCTCATGGTGAATTGTTCATGTTATAACTGTTACAGAACATCTGTCGCTATCGGCACTCTCAGAAGTACTAGAGGGATGACACAGATATCAAGATATATATAGTTAAACGAGAAATACCAGTTTCAGTCGAGGCAAAGCTCTGCAAGAGGGAAACTATACCCAGAGAGATCTGACTCACTTGCGTGTCAGGAATCCTAAAACATGTTGTTGTACTTTCGAATCTCATGCCTGATTTTACCTAGCGTTGACAGCGACACTTGCATGTGCAGAACAGTCAAACAAAAAGCATGACGACGCTGCCAAAAATTGGAGTAAGTAAGTCATAAAACGTATCTTCACCTCAGCAGCCATGGTGTCAACGTGACGCAACGTCTGTGAGATTGGCAACGCCCGTTTGGTGAATGGCTACTGCGCACACTTCGAAGCGGCGCCGGTGACAAACTGCAGTGCAACCCAACAGGTCGATAAGCCATTGCGTCCGAGGATGCCAACTCTGCATTCATCGGTAAACGCGTGTTTCTCATTCCCATGCAAGTCGTCCTTGTTTGGTTGTGTACCTCGGGCCACGTTTTCCCCTTCTGTAGATCGCCTAACGAGATAGCCAGGCTGAAGTCATTGCCGATTAGTTCACGCAACAACACTTTTCCACGGACGATATTTCCGCTACTTGGTCCAGTTTTTTGCCACAATAAATGCCTCCACTTGCACGGAATATTCTCTTCTGACAGATGAGAAAAAAAAAAGAAAGGAAGGAAGGAAGAGTGAGAGGGGAAGCGTAGGGGGGCTATGAAATCTCACAAAAATAAATGGATGAGCAGCGCGACTGACCTCAAGATAGTAGCCAGACATGCCTAAAAACACGACACGAGCATGCCACCAGCTTCAGTTGCGCTGTTTGTGCCGATCCGAGGCCTTCTTTATAAAAAGCTCCGAGTGTCTTATCTGCGGGTTACATAAGTAGCTTGACACCCTGAGGTGACACGTGGGGTCTTCTAGAAGCATAACGGGGAGAATCGGGAGGATTCAGTCGTGTGAAAGAATTTCGCAAAAGTAATATATCTGTAGGCGGGCCGGTCACCTCGATCTTTTGAACAATGTTTCTCACAAAGACAGGCGAATCTTGAGTAGTGACCATGTCGTACGGCTTACTTCGAGCGGCCGTGCTGTATTTATGGGCGGCCGTAGCGCTCGCCGTTCCTTCGTGCGAAGTCTTCGAAGCCCGCGACTACCGACGCTACAAGTGTCGCCAGTTTCGGACGGCCAGCCACTTCGCCGAGCACGTTCCGCACGAGCCGTCTCCGAAGCCGACGTGGTTCTCTCTGCACGAGTCGAATCTTTCGGCACTGCCTCCGTCGGCCTTCGCGGGACTCAACGTTACGGTCCTGGAGCTGAGGTCAGTAGAGCTGGGACGTCTCGACCCGAGTCAGACCGAGAGCCCTTTCGCCGGTCTTGAGGACAGCCTTCGCAAGCTCACCTTCAGCCTTGGTACCATGCCGTCGTCCTGGTTGCTGCTGTCCAGTCTTCGACGTCTGGAAGAACTGGACATCGTGCACTATGCGCGCCTCAGGCTGACGCGTGACTTCAACCATCTTCCCAAGAGCCTGAGGACGTTGTTCATCGCCGACGCTACCTTCGAATCTATCGAAGGGGGATGGATCAGCGACTTGGTCAACCTGGAGCACCTCATATTCCGTGGCACAGATCTGGCCAGTTTTAACAGGAACTGGCTGCCTTCGCCGGCACCTCGCTTCACCAGTCTCGACTTGCCGTGAGCATATTATGAGAACGCCTCTGGGCTCTGCAACATGACCCACCAGAGCTCGGAGAACTTATTGTATAGTGAGCGAAGTAGAGCATTGGCAGAAAAAGTGTTACACTACGCAGGCTAGCAAAGAACCGCGCAGTGCGATAGATGCTGGAAATTTGTACGATTCAACCTCTGTTATGGCTCTGAATTCTGCTAAAGAGCTTGACAAGACGTTGAAAGCTGTCGAATACAGCCTTTGTCAGGCATACTGTTTCTTTTTTCACACTCCCTGTCCCGTCAGCTCAAGGGCTGGTTAACTCGGGCGCGTATAACTACCGACTCGTGAGAAACTTTATCAACTCACCCTGATCGGAAACACCACGGCACACATGGATTCGCGAAATGACTTGTGCACTAGAATAGGTAGTATGAAAAAAAATGAATACTGTCAGAACTTATTAGCGAAAATTACTGGTAAATGAGAATAAGAGCTTGTGGGAAAAAAAGAAGGCTCGCGAAGTAAGCTCCAAGTCATGCTACCCACGACGATGCTTACTGCGCTCGTAGATTCTGTGAACATCTATTCTGGTTTGCAGCAGCGGTCTTGGTTGAAATAGCTCCGTGGTTATTTTGTTTTCGTTCTTGCGGAACGTTCAGTTTGGTGCTCCTTGCTTAATGTCGTACGTGGCATTTATATATTTCTTTTTTTTGAAACAGTTCAAAGTACTGCCGTCGCTCTGCGGTAGAACACCTGCTTGGCGCGGAGAAGTCGCGGTTTTGATTCTCACACAAACCAAACATATTTAATATTTATTTGACTCTATTTCATATTTTCGCTCACGTACGGCGATGATTTCTCGCTCAGCACCAACGACGCCGACTGTGACAGTGGTATTTCTGCGAAACGAGCACTTTAATGCTATCGCATTTAATGCTAAAGCTATCAACGTTTGCTGTGTTCTTGAGCACTTTAAGCCTCGTTGATGACGTGCGCACTTTGCCAAGCCTCGAATCCGCTGAATTTCGCTGTACTCCGCTTGCGCCCAGGACGAACAAGTTGACATCGTTCCCTGAAGGACTGGGCGATAATCTGCCAGCCCTCACCTACGTCAGCGTGTTGAAGAACCTCATCACGACTCTCAGGGAACAGGACTTCGCACCCATTCGAGACAAGGTGGCCGTCGTCGACCTGATGTGTAAGGGTTTGCTACGTACGATTACCACTACTATCGTAATAGGATTTCATTTGCGAATATAAATGGCACAAATCTACCGCACAGATTGCCCAAGGAACGAGTTCTAGCTAAAAGCGATGGTTAGTGTGATGAGGTCTTCTAATAACTCTATCAACTTCTACTTGAAGTAAGTAGAAGAATAGTGAAGACTCGCAGTCTATAGGACCACTTACAGCAAAGCAGAAAGGTATGCATAAGTGGCAGAGCAAAAAATATGCTGTTGGCAACGCGCCCACTATGGCACGGTCACTCGTCATAACATCTCCGTTTTTCTCTGTCTCTCCTTTTGCCCCTTATCCCAGCATGAGGAGTAGCAGACCCATAGGCGTGCACAGGAGGGGGGCAGGAAGGGGGGGCGGCCCCCCCCAACGCTAAGAGGCCAGCGGAGTAAAGTCAGTCCCACGCAGGGACATAATAAGGAGGGGCGGTGCTGTGACTCGGGGGGGGGGGGGGCACTAAGTCATCCCAATACATTGACGTAATAGGTAGGGGGGGTGCTCTGCGACGAACTGTCAACCCCCCCCCCCCCCCATCAGTGGGGACCCTGCACGCACTTATGAGCAGGTTATAGAGATGTCTTGGCCTACTTCTCATCTTTTCTCTCCATCAAATGTTCAACTCAGTGTTCTCCCTGGGATGTTATAAAAAAGAGCACATTGCTGTTACTTTCCTTTTATCTCGTCTGTATACTTCCTTCGCCTAATGCTCGCGCATTCCCTCCCCCTCGCAGTCAACCCGGTTCACTGCGACTGCAACGTGTCCTTCATCCTGGACTACCCCACATCGTGGCACTACTTCACGTGCGCCGCTCCTCGCGATGTCAAGAACACCTACGCCAGCAACCTGCAACACAAGCAACTCAAGTGTCAGGGCACCACCTGAACAGCAGCCGCTGGATGGTATATGCGGCCAACTTCCCTGACGAAGCGCGCAAACCGGTGCGCCTGAGTGAAAGTCCGATTTCCCAAATATTGCCCTATTTTATTCCTTCATTTTATTTTCATTCGTCTCGAAGTGAAGGTCCCCTCGAGGCGTCACGCAGTATTGGAGGGTTGACTGGCTGGCTGTTTGGATTGATCTGCCAATTTAATCCTTATTGAGGTTAAAGCCCTAAACGGCGTATCAAACGCGAGCTCCGCAGCAGTGGTCTCGTGGCTAAGGTACTCGGCTGCTGACCCACAGGTCGCTGGATCGAGTACCGGCTGTGATGGCTGTATTTTCACATGTGGCAGCAGCATTCTGCATTTTCGGAGGCGGAAATGATGTAGGTCCGTGTGCTCAGATTTGGGTGCTCGTTAAAGAAGCCCAGGTGGTCGAAATTTCCGCAGCCCTCCACTACGGCGTCTCTCGTAATCATATGGTGGTTTTGGGTCATTAAACCACACATATCAATCATTATCAAACGTGAGAAATGACTGTCGATACCGCTTGCGCCACCACAGGTGATGTAAAAAAAATGTCACCACGTAGCGACATCGCCATATCATGTCATAATGACGGCACAGATAGCAAAAACCTGCGAAGTAACCACAAACTCATCGTGACGTTAATATGACGTCACGAAACGTGACGTGACGTAACGACGTTACAACCATGACATCGTCGCTTGGTCATAAATGGGTCGATCATAGAGGCAGTGCGGAACCGGGTAAGGTGCGCAGAAAGCTTGCAACGCCTCCGATCTCGGAGGCAGTACGAAACCACGTTAAGTGCAGAGAGCTTTTGGAGGTATGTGTGGAAGGCTCAGTACAT